TTTTGGCTTGAAAACATTGCTTTTTTTAAAAAAAATCCATGTTTGTAATTAGTTGGAAGCAAAAATGCTTTGTGACTCCCTTAAAAGACTACAATGATTTTAAGAGACTGTAAAAGGCAAAAATATGTATTTGTCATCTATCATATCACATGTGTTACAATGTGTATAATTTTGACCTTCACATTTTCAAAGGAACTGAGATAGTCTAAAGTGTACTAAAAGGCAGTGACCAGGATAGTGAGGAAAATTTAAGCCTTTTCAGAGAGAAATATGAGTTTTCAACATGGAGAAGAGGATATTTGGCAAGTATCTCCAACATTTGAATTTCTGCATGCTTCTCTGGGGAAGACATAGGTAGGTTATTCAGCCCAGAACATGGAGAAAAAAAAAATAGAATTCAACTATCCAATGATGACCTTCAATAATAGTGTGAAAAACTAAGATCCATTTCATTATAAACTTCAAAACTCTATTATCTTTAATAATAGAGTATAAGACTAAGGTTTTGAAGAACTAAGGTTCATTTCATTATAAACTTGTATACATAGATAAAGACTACTACTTGTAAATTCTTAGCAGAATTTCTATGTTATACAGAGAACTAGAAAAAGTTAGTGAGTGGCTCCAGGTCCAGCAATGTGTTAGAATCAACTGGAAGTTTGTGGGACAATTTTAAAGCCTCCTCCCACTGAATCATAATCTTTGAGCATTGGAAACTGACAATCTATCAAGAACTTTAAAATTTTAATCCCCTTAGATGACTCTAGTGAACTGCCAAAGTTGGACAACACTGAACTAGAGTACCACGAAGTTTCCCTCCAACTCTATGATTTGTTAATTCTTACAGCATTGTGGAAGAACTTCATCTATAAATGAATAAGAATTATCTGTAGTCTGTAAAGTGAATATAGTCTAACCGTACATAGGAAGCTCTAAAGTGCCTGCTAACCAGTTGATTTCTTAAGTAGATTAAAATTCCTTCTTGCAATCTAGTGAATGAAAACTTTCTTCATGTATCATGGAAAGGATAACTTTATCTGGCCTGTTTCCCAACTATTAAGGTTCCAAATCACTGAAATATAAATAAATGAGATTTTATCATATCTAAACACCAGTATGATGAAAAATTTGTTTACACCGGGAGGTTTTAGGTCATCCTTCAATCATTCATCCCCGGAACCAAAGTAGGTATGCTCCTGAGCATACATGCACACATGCGCACAGACACCCAAATGTGACACTTGGTAAATGTTGGGCAATTACTGAGATGGAACAAAGGAGACCTTCAAATTCCATCGCCATTTTAACCTTATATTTTTGGATCTAAAAAAAATCTAAGAACTCAAGTCAAAGGCATATAAATAATATTACTGATCATGCTGTACTCAGCTTCATGTTTAAATTTCTCTAATTTCTTATCTTCTAAATACATTACTTTGGTCCCAGTGGTGCTAAATGAGGAATGAGAGCAATATTTTTAAAGTAATAAAAAGCTATGAAAAGTACATATTAATTTTGACTAAATTGATTCCCTATATAAAGAGCATATGTTGCCCTATGAAGGAGCTCTAATTATGGCAAGAAGGCTACATTTGTAGATTTTGCCTAATCTAAAATTAAACCTGTAAAGCTTTGCTGGAATTATTTAGGAAAAGAATAATGGAAACCCCCTTCAACACAGTTAGATTTTCTTAATTTTATTTTTTCAATTCACGTGCTATTGTTTCACGGTACTTTCAGATTGAAGTTCACACATAGCAAATAAATGGCATGATAATCAGAGGTTTGATATCCAATACACATTCATTATTATCTGTCATTATTGTCATTGTCGCTATTATAATTGTGCATGGTAAAAAGAATGAAAGCTTTTCCACGGGAATTATTCACGTGTATTAACTTTCTAGGAGTAATTGAATAGTTGACGTTGCATTTTTGTCAAAGTAAAATATGGGATGGTTTATCTCATTTGTATTTTTCTTCAGCAAGAAGAAATGTGGAATCATCTCTGTTAGGTTCCTTTTTCTTTGGATCCAGGGTCTCATAGTTTCATGCAATGCTAAAATGTATGTGTTTTAAATGACAACTATGGGAACGTTCTCACTCCTCTGTAAAATGACCTGCCACGTTACGGGCTGTTTTGAGAGTCAGTAGGGAAAATGGCAAGAAAACCTCTCAAGTGTGTTTCGCTGTCTATGTGTTCTTCCTTCTGTATCACGAACTTCTCACAAGCTTTGTCCTATTTGGGGTTTCTGTGTGGTTCACCCTCACACAATACAGCTTGAAGCTTTATTTAGAATTAAATAATATAAATACTGGTTTGGACAATTGTGTAACACAGGCTTTTGAGACAAAAGACTCCAAGTAAAATGCGGTAACAAATTGGATGATGATACAATACTGCAAAAAATTGGGGATGTGTCTTTAGTCACTAAGAAGGCCATACATAATGCACTCGAAGCACAGACCCTTCACAGAAACACAACCCATGAGGGTAGGTGGGAGTTCCTTTTCTTCCATAAAATCTACCACATTTCCTGCAGAGACCCACGTGGTTTAGGGATTTGTTGTAGTTATGTGGTGTCTTGCTGTGCTGCTAGGCTAGCCAGCCTGGTAGCATCATGTCATTGCTACCAAGGAGGAGGTGCTTACCGTTGACAAACTATACAGTGGCTAATGTTTTGAAGGCCTCAGGCCAGTTCGCAGAGGACAGATGGAAATGGCTGGCTTTTTAGGCAGAGAGGGCAAAGACTCAAGCTCCTCTTCTCATCCACAAATAAGGGCAGCAAATCACCAGTGAGATTGGTCCAAGGAAGCCAGTTTTATCAATGACTGATATAAACTTATAAACATACTTGGGCCATGTTCTTACGTCCTTGTCATTCATCAAGTACATTTTGAAGCAGTACATTTATTTATGAATTAAAACAGATACAATTATGATGCTTTTGTCAGGATTAGCACTTCAGTGAGTCCTTTTCTCTTTGTCCTGCCCATCTTGGTCTTCTACCTCCTATCCGCAGTCTGGCCATATGTACACATGTGATGTTAGGCAGCTGCAGAATCATGACTTCAGGTGAACAGGTCCATCTACACATGATAACTTACTGCACCTAAAAGAACTGTTTGCTTTCACTTTGACTTGTCTTACAAAGCAGTTGATTATTTGGACTAAAAATGATAACAAAAGAAACAGCTATGTATCAGTCCTGTGAGCATGCATTTATGAAATTATATGGCATATGAATTACATGTGTATTGTTTCCACCCAGTCACTGAAATTCTCAATGTATGGAGTCTTTGCTGTTTCACAGTTTTTGTTTGCCAACCAGCAGTCTATAGGGCATATGGGTGCAGGTCAAGGGCACATTAAATTCAAAGAAGTTGGGTTGGTTGGTTAGTTCATTTGCTTGTTTCTCTTTACACTCAACTATATCCACAGCGTGGCAAAATTAACATTGTAAACTCCTATTGCATTAGTCATTCTTCTTTAAGTACAGCTCCCTCTATCGATGAATCTGGAACATAGGAGTTTCTCCAGAAGATATTTTCCTAGTGAGACATACACAAAGCATTCAGTGGCACCAGAGTTTCATTATAGGAATTCTCTAGTTCCCTTTCTTCATATGGAAATGTTTCATTAACTGTATTAAGTTAACTCTCTGAATGTTAGGTTCTTAACCAACAAACAGAGCTTCTCCACAGGGCCTATTTCGCCAAGCATCCTTGAATCGGAAGGGGCTACATAGGTAATAATAGATTCAGAGCCACACTATGGGTTGTGATCATATGTAAGAGGAACCCTTTTGTATTTATTGACTTTTTTCCTTCAATCATGGTCGTTCTGTTTCTCCCACCACCACCTTGAGCCTTTCAGGTAAATGAAAAGTTCAATTATATGTAAAGTGACTGTTAAATCAGCAGGCCCCTTGTGGGGGTCTGGGCCTCCTCTCCCTGCTTCAGTGGCACTTGTGCTCAATCCATTACTATTCCTGAGGGTTGTACATCCATCAGGTCGCCTCGCCGGCCAGGGTGCATCTTATAGCTTTTACTGCATATGAGACATTGCAGGCCTGTTCTCAGGAACTGCCAGGCAGACTGGGAATCACAGTCACGGTTAATAGCAGCGAATTGCCAGCTCTTGATGGGTGGGTAGTCACTCCTTTCAGTGGTTGCCCCCTGGGGGAGAAGGTAGAAAAACAGAGGGAGGGAATTAGAGTGACTTTGCACAGTTGAGCAGGTTCATGCCGCTGGATCAGTGGCAAGCATTGGCAGGGCTCCACTCTGGGGAGGCTCACAGCAACATCACAGTCTCATTTTTACCAATTGGAGCTTCTGTATCGCCAGTGGTGCACAGGGGGAGAGCAGAGGGGAGGGCGAGCTGGGAGTGGGGGAGAGGGGATGGAGGCAGAAGTCTAAGCTAAATTAAACAAATGGGAAAAAAGAAAAAAAAGTTCATGTTCAAACTGGTTAACCCATCCTAGTTAGCCCTGTGCTACTAATTGTACCAGACTGGTTTTGGAAGTTGCCTGAGTGATTAAAGAGTTGGCTCACAAACTCTCTGCATAACCTTAATTTTTTCAAGGTTCTTTGAGTGGAGAATGGCTTATAATAATGATTTTGACTAATACGATTTTTGACATGCAACTTTAATGCTTAACCTTAGTACCACTCCAGAGCATTCCATGTGTACTCAGCTGTAAAGAGTGATGATTTAAAGGGATAATATAAGAAAAAGGTCGTTCTAGAATGAACCTCTAACAAATTGCATAAAGGGAGCTTATTATTCCATGAGTATAGGGATATGCAGTTCTTCTGATCATTTTTCTGCTTGGTTCAAAAAAAAAAAACTGTTGAGACATGAATGGGAAAAGAAACAGGAAAAAATGAAATAGAAATCTGCAAGCAAGGAACATTCTTTTGATGATTATGATTTCGTTGCCACTAAAAAGACTCTACAATAATGTGGTTATTCATCTCCTCTTTTGTTTTGGGTGAAGAATTCGCTCTAACAAGAAAATGCTGTTATTGGTTGGAGGGTTGCCGCCCGGACCTGACCGGCTCCCCAGCAATTTGGTTCAGTATTACGACGATGAAAAGAAGACATGGAAAATACTCACAAGTGAGTGACTTATTTATTTACTCACCTATTTATTTCAGGTGAGCTGTCTTGATGAATTCGAAAACATGGTTAATCAAATTAGACATTTTATTGATTTGTTACCCTGCGGAGGTTTATTTACGTATCATGGGGGAATTTAGAGTAAAAGACTAAATTAACATTGCAGAGGTGGCCAATTTGGTAGTTGAATAGGCCTAAATTAAAACTGGCCTCAAATCACTGTACTGGTTTATGTTTCTGTGTGTGTTGGGCAAGACAGGGGAAGTAGCGATCTTCCCCTAAAATTTCTTCTTTTTTTTTTTTTTGGTTGATTGAAAAATGAAAGGTTGGTTAACAGCACTAGTAAGTTTTCTCTCCTTAAAATGGTTGCTGAGTTTTCTGTTGCTGTAACTAACATTCATTTTGCTTTTTAGACATTTTTGCTCATTAATCAGGCTGTGGAACCAGGTCTTTAGAGAAATGCCCCCTCAGATGCTCCACAGCTTGGATGGACAGATATATTCATGGCCTGGCCCAGCTGCATTAAATTGTACTTGCAAACTTCCAGCCAAGAGTCTCCTCCTCCCCTCCTGAAAGGGTGATTGTGTTTTACAGCAAACCTCTTGCCTTGGGCACTGAGATTTGGAACTTATTGTTATATCGGTTATGATTCCCAGTCTGACTCAGTCATGGAATCAAAAATCATCGTTTCTTGAGCGCAGCAGGCTGTGTGCACCAGTCCCCTCGTGGGCACAGTGGCTGCACTGGTCAATAAAACTAAATTTTAACTGTCAAAATTGCCCAGAGCTGTATAGATAAAATAATAAATGAGCAATTTTGATCCATAAATCAAAGCCATACATTTAAGACCAACAAAAGTAAAAGTCAGATTTTCTTATTGCATGTGTCTTTTAAGCAGTTAGATATTTTACCAGAGTATTTTTAAAAATAATTCCCTTTGCTCTTCCTGAAAGCTCTTTTCAAATTATAGAAACAGGGCCAGAGTTTGCCCAAAAGAGCAGAAGAAGAAGTGCTAAGACTTGTGAGGTGGTGCTTGTGCTAATACATTTCGGAGCTGGCTCACCCCAACAAAACCTGCAGTATCATCATTCGGGAATTGCAACAATAATGCTCCCTGACACCACTGAACTATGATTCTAGTAAAGAAGTGGTGGAATAGTAATGGTGAGATTAAGATGAAGGAAGGAAAAATAAGTTAGAGATGTCTAAAGATATTTGTTCTTCTTTGGATGAAAATACCATTAATAGTGGTTTAAACATCTGAGTGAGTGATCAAGCTGTATTTTAAAGATTCATCAGAAATGAAAACTAATGTAAAACCAAAGAATCAATTTGGGAACACCTGATCAATAGAGAAAGCCTACATAGAATGATCCGTGGAGACTAGGAGGAGGAGAGAAAAAAAATGAAGTTCAGAATATTCTCAGGGAGAGATAACAGAAAAAAATGAGCATAAGGGACAGGGAGAGATTAGACCCTACTACTAAATGACATTCATTTGCAAATCCACCTGTTTTTTCCAAATATACCAAACTTCATCCAATTTGCTACTTATTTGAAGTCCTCTAGTAAAGGCAAAAAGATTGATTAATAATACCTATGGAAAGTCTTATGTTCATTTTGAACCTTGGTCAGAGATAGATTGATCATCAAACTTCTTGCCCAAACTAGGAGACTTTTGAGCATGGGAAGTGGGATCTACTAATTAGGCCAGGTCAACACTTATAGACTGGAATAGATGGTCACCCCATTGCCTGATTTAACTTCCTACTTGGGTATAGTAAGAGCACATGAACTCTGCATCCTGGATCAAGCCCAGATCTCTGACTTTGAGCAAGTCATAAATATATTCTGAGTCCTAGTTTCTTTATTTTGTCAGTCTTTGAATATTTTTTTAAATGACATTGCATTTATAAATCATCTATCATGTAGCATGCACTCAATAAATTGTAGATACTTTTGCTCTTATTTTAATACCACTGCCAATATTAGCACAGGAGAGTACCTTTATACCTTAGAAGCATCAGTCAGCCCAAGCCCTTTGTGCAAAGAGGAAAAAGATAACTCTGTAATGGAAATGACACTTGCACCCAGTGCTCCAGAGGAGAGAGCCTATTGTCCATAGTTTTCATAGGTCAGATGTTATAATCTACAGATTAGGAAGTAAGCATAAATGGGGGTCTTGGCTCATTCCCTCAGATTTGAAATGAAAAGAAATAAATTAGTATAAATATAGAAAAGTTCTTATAATAGAAATATATTTAAAGATTTTGGAATGTACTTCTATACTCAAACTCAGAGCTTTGAAATAAATTTCTATTCTTCTTATACTCTTCATCTCACTAGGACTTGAACTTCAAAAAATTGAGTTTATTTCCTGCTAGGCTGTGACTACACGGCCCCAAGTGAAGGCTTATTTTTCATATTTGTTGGAAAAAAAAGTAGGCATTTTAATCTGGATAATTTCTGTTATTGGTAGTTTGTATTTTTTAAGTAAGGCCTTTATTTGGCCAAGTTGAAGGAAGTCGTCAGGTAACTGACACGATTTCATACTATTTGGGCCACATAATCATAAACAAAGAAACGTTTCTCATGAACTAAGAAAATATCCAACTGCACCCCAAATCCAACCAAACGTTAGGGATTTCCAAACTTCCCACTGCCCTTCTTGCCCCAGAAGTGCTAAGCTAATTTATTAGGGAGGTAAGGACGATGGTTGAAGGGAGGAGATGTCCTGCCAGTTTGGGGTCTGTTTATTTATTGAATGAATGTCTCCATACAAACTAACAAATTAACTAACAGACACCTAACACCTGAGGTTGGGTGGCGCTTCTGAACCTTAGCCTACCGTGTCTGTTTTGCTTGAGCAAACATTTCTCAGCACCTCTGACAGACAGGTTCCTCTTTAAGAGATGCCATTCTACAAGCAGAAGCACAAGCACCTGCTTAGGGGTGCCACACTATTTACACGTGTTACATAACACAGAAGAATTAAAAGGACTTTGGAAACACTAGGCAAGGCGGAAACACTTCAGTAATAATACACTGAACAAGTAGAGGTAAGTGAGGAGGAAAAAGTGGTTCTGTATAACATAAAGAAAACATAATTCAAATAGTTAACCAGTCAATGGTTTGATCCCCTCAAACAGCAAAGGGACAATTATTCTCACTAAAAAGACTGTTTTGGTGACATACTGGCACCAAGTGCATTTTTATCTTCCTTCTTAAAATAATCAGTTAATATGATGTGGTAGAATTGATGTTTAAGAATGGTGACAGAGCCCCCCCCCACCAGCCTCTATTGGAAAAAGCCTTGAGAAATAACATGTAAAAATGACTGTAAAGCCCCTTTGTCCATGTGAAGTGTTCAGCAATCACAATAAAATCGGGCATTGTGGTTCTCTTGCCTGTTAATAATCAAAGGGAAGTTGAGACGCACTTTCGTTCATTTTTATTTTACAGTGCTGCTTTTGTTGCATTTCTCACTCCTGCATGCAGTCTGCCGTTTCGTTCTTAACTTATTAGAAAGCAATACAGGAGACATGAATAATAAAATGGTCAACACAAGAAATATGCCTTCTGCACTTTGCAGGCCCTCAGTCCTCTGCTTAAGGATCACACAAAACGATCCACATCGCCGCCGTGTACCTCTAGGACAGATTTCTTACATCCCCAAATTTTTATGAAGACCACAGGAAGATGCACCTTACATTTCTCCCCATGGGATCGCACTGAAGGTCTCTTTATTCCATTTATATTCCCAGTTGATTGATGTCTTTACTGATGGGTGAAGACATTTTCCAGGAACTACGTTCCTTTTTTCTATGTTTCAGGTAAGAGATTTTATTTATCAGGTGCTTCTTCGTTGCTTTCTTTAAGCAAGGATAGAAAAAAGACTTCAAAATACTGATTTATTCTTCCAGGTGCCAATCATGGCTTCCCCTTAATCACATGACCACAAAAGCTATGGAGCTCCTTCTGATCCCTCCCACTTTCTTTTATTAGATACAGGGGAAGTGCCCTTTGTTCCTCTTCCTTTCAGTTCATTTGGTCTACTTTTTGTGTGCTTTCTGTTTTCCAATCATGGTATACTGGCTTCCTATGTTGTCTCCTGGCCCATGGAGGACACTTCACTTGATCCCATTCATGCAGAAAGGGTCTTGGGGCAGATTGTCATCTTTTAGAAGAGTCACAAAGATCAGAAAGTTTGTGGACTTTTCATACATGTTTTTAAAAATATACTTCCCATAAGTGTCAAAGAAATAGTAATGAAAAAACCTCATATAAGACAATAAACTTCAGTTGTGAAAAATAAATACAGACTTGATCATATTCAATATCTGAGCAATGGAGAATGGTTTAATTGCTGATTATTCAAGGAATAATGGACCTAGAAGTTGATGCATTTGACTGGACTTCTTTCCGTGGTTCTTCTGTTTCTTTATTTCAGTCCACTTTTGCTCTTTGAGGATATATCGGGAGGAAAGTCAAGTTAGTCAAAAGCTAACGATCATTTCTCATGGTTGTTTGTTCTCAAAGAAATAAAAAGTAAGTTCAATGGAAGGGTTGTACCTGTGAGATTCCTTTATTCATATTATGTATATTGCTAAGAATCCAAACCCAAAAAAATTATTTAATGTAACTTTTAGACAGGTAGGTAAAATTTGTAAACAGTACATTCCTTGTTGCAGGAGAACCTGAAGAAACAATGAAGTACTTTCAGAATGACTCTGAAAATGCTTGGAGAGAATTTAGTCTGACTTACAGACCTCATTCCTTCATGGAGCAAGTGATTATTGAATATCCACTCTGTTGGATGGAAGGGTAGAATATAAATATGACTGTCTCTCCTCTCAATCACCTAAGGAGGCAATTATAATACAGGGAGCTAAGAGATAGACAAGAAAATACCAAGGTACAATGAGAGCAAAAATGGGCCCCTAACCTAAACACAGGAGGTTAGGAAGTTCTCTTAGAAATGATTTTCTTAAACAGGGCAT